GGGAAGGGAGCATGTCTGTTTTTCCCTCAGTGTAACAGTAGTCTTTTTTCTAAAAAAGAAAAATAATCTTCCACTTCATTCCTGCTAATTCTGATGATGTTTACTAATAATACAGATATGCAGAAAGAATCAAACTATATGATGAATTTTATTATGTTAACTTTGCTTCACAAATAAGGATATGTTACATAATTAAACAAATTTCCTTGTACCTGATAAGACGTGAGTGTGTGTATTTTTCTAGGATTTACTTCAATTATTTATTGGCTGATGGTTGAAATAAGATACGAGTTATTTAATCCTGGCTCAAAACTAGCTGTCTACCTTATTTTCCAGCAGTTTGGTTTTTTATTCCCAGATTTTATTCTTTATTATTTTGCCTCTTACCTCCTTTAGTTTCCACACATTCCTGTTAACTTAAATTTTTTTTCTTGTGAGTTTTGAAAGCCTACACTTTATGATCTTTGTTGCTCTCTCTTTGCCCTCAAAATTGTAGATTTATAACCTTTTTCTTAATATCTGATCTATAAGCCCACTTCTGCAAGCAAGTTGTGAGGTTTCTGAACCTATGTATTTCATAAATACTAGACCATGTAACGTGTTTAAGTGACTGTTCTTACAGCCTGCTTGACAAATGTTTTCATCTACAACCCCCTAGAACTACTTCCAAAGGAAATTAAATACAGAACATAAACTCCATTTGTTTTTATTCTTGACCTTTGTTTTTAAAAGGCAGTGATTTGGTATTGTCTAAGAGTTTAAAGTGCTATAATTTGACTTCTCCTAACTTTTGTTTGATCAATGAGAGATATAAATTACTTTTGTGGGCTAGTTGTGCAATTAATTTCACTAACCTGCCTTCCACATGAAAGAAATTCTGTAACTGGTTTAAAATAACACCTTACAGTCTGAGTTAGAAGTTTAACTAACTGCAGATTTACCTTGTTGCCTTGGCCCTCACTGGAAAAGGAAGCTATGCGATTTCGTGGGGGTTGTTTGTTTTGTTTTTTTAAGTTTTAATGTTGTGCGAAAAAACTCTACATACATAAAAAGTAACGGCTTAATTGAGCATAAGGCCTTTAAAAGTCCTCTTAGGAAAGCAGCTTGCTTATTACAGTATAGCTGTGTTTAAAAATAAGTGTCTTTTTACTGGGAACAACTCAAATGCCCTTCAGTGAGTGAATGCTTAAACTGTGCTAGATCTATACTGTGGAATACTATGCAGCAGTAAAAGGAACAAGCCATTAATACACAGCAATGTAGATCTTGAAAGAATTATGCGAAGTGAAAAAACAATCTTAAATTGAAACAACCATGTAGCTTCATTTATATAACATTTCTCAAAATGACATAATTATATAGAAAGAGAACAGATTGATGGTTGCCAGGCATTAAGGATGGGTAGGGGGAGCAGGATGGTTGTGACAATAAAGGGTTAGCATGAGGGATCTTTCAGTGATTGAACAGCTCTGTATCTTGTGGTGGCGGTTACATAAATCTATATACATGAGATAAAATTACATAAAGGGAGGATATAGCTCAGATGTAGAGTGCATGCTTAGCATGCACAGGGTCCTGGGTTCAATCCCCAGTACCTCTATTTAATATAATGAATGAATGAGTAAACTAAATTACCTCTCACCCCCAAATCACATGGAAACACACACATAAAGGAGTGTATGTAAAATTGGTAAAATCTGAGTAAAATTGTGGATTATATCAATGTCAATCCCTGGTTTTGATATTGAACTACGCTTAACAGTCATCCCTTTGTATCTGCTGGGGATTGGATCCAGGACCCCCCTTGGATGCCAAAATTCACAAATGCTCAAGTCCCTTATATAAAATGGCATTGTTTTGCATATAATCTATGCACATTCTCTCGTATACCATCTCTAGATTACTTATAATACCTAGTGTAATGCATGTGCTATGTAAATGTTGTAAGCACAATGTAAATGCTATATAAATAATTGCCAGCACATGACAAATTCAAGTTTTGCTTTTGGAAACTTTCTGAAATTTTTTTCTGAAGTATTTTCAGTCTGAAGTTGGTTGAATCCACAGATGTGGAACCTGTGGGTATGGAGGGCTAACTGTGTAATGTTCTCATTGGGGGAAACTGGATGAAGAGTACGTGGGCACTTGCTGTACTATGTTTTACAACTTTATCTGAATCTGATTATTTTAAAATTATTAAGTCAATTACAAAAATGCTAATATTTATATATATATATATATGTTTCTGTATAGTATTGGGGAGGAAGTATCTGTTTTAAAACAAATATTCTCTGCAAAATGCCATTCATTCAGTTCATATTGTTCACTTGTGTTATTTATACTGTCTTGTTTACGTGCATCTGAGTATATCCAAGGTGCAGTTTCCATTTTCATTTTATGTGCCTTGTTTTCTGTAAATGCCAGTTTATTCTTCTTTCTTAAGGGCTTGCTGCACTTTCACCTTCCAACCCTTCTTCATATAAACTAGAAGGAATCTGATATTAGTCATGTATATTGTTCATTTTCCACTTGCTATAAAAGGATTTTGTCAAGAGGCTGTACGTTCGTCATTCAACTAGATATTTGCATTTTAAGTCTATAGATTATCTGTAGGACAGAAGATTTTGTTCTATTATGAAGACAGCAAATGAGATATAATTTGGGGGAAGAAAGTGATATAAATGCCGTTAAATTATGCTATGGTTATTGTGTGACCACAAACTTCATACAGAACTAAAAATTTTAAAATATTAAATGTTTTGCAGCAATGAGGGGAGGAATATGAGGAGGTCAAAAGTAAAATTGTAGACCACCAACGTGGGGAGGATATGCTTCCTGTGATATGGATGACCTTGATCTACTTTGTGTGTGGTATGAGATAGGGGTCCAGGTTCATTCTTTTACATGCAGATATCCTTTTTTTTTTTTTGTCTCAGCACCATTTGTTTTTCTTTCCCCGTTGAATTGCCTTAGCACCCTTGTTGACCATAAATGTAGATTATTTCTCAATTCTCATTTCTATTCTATTGATTTATATGTTTTAACATTATGCCACGCGTCCACAATGTTTGATTATGTAACTTTGTAAAAAGTTTTGAAATTGGGACATGTAAGTCCTCTAACTTTGTTAATCTTTTCCAAGGTTGTTTTGGCTATTCTGGATCCTTTTCATTTCTGGATGTAGTTTAAGATCAGCTTGCCAATTTCTGCAAAAAAAAAAAACCAACTGGATTTTGATAGGGATTGTGTCAAACAGGTAGATCAGTTTGACACTTTGGGGAGTATTGCTGTTTTAACAATACTGAGATAACTTGTTTAGTATTTAATGATTCATTTTAAAAGAATAATAAATTTATAGGTTGTTAACATAAGTACAATTGGCCCTCCATATTTGCTGGTTCTAAGTAAATGGATTCAACCAATGGTGGATCAAAAAATAGTAAAAGAAAAAAAATTCCAGAAAAGTTCCCCAAAAAAAACAAAACAATTTGCCATGTTCGGGCAATTATATAGCATTTGTATTGTATTTACAACTATTCATGTAGTATTTACATTGCAGTAGGTATTATAAGTTATCTAGAGATGATTTAAAGTATATGAGAAGAAGTGTGTGTAGGTTATATGCAAATACTATGCCATTTTATATGAGGGATTTCAATATACCTGGATTTTGGTATCCAAGGGGGGTCCTAGAACAAACCCCCATGGATACTGTACCATATTATGGAAAAAAATTTTTAATAATGAAAAGAATGGCATTGTTTTACATTTTTGCAAAGCTCTGTAATGTTTGGCTTATATGAAGATAACTGGGTTCTCATATCTGTTTTTGCATTCATTTTGATATGATATATGGTTTTGATTGAAATGTGAGAAATTTGGCCTCTTACAGATAAACAGAGGAAAAAGGAAGGACCTCATGGACCCTTTGAAAGTGTCTTGATGATCTGCAGTGATCATTGGAACACATTTTGAGAACAGCTTGTCCAGTGGAAAGAAATATATATTTCGAAAGTCAAAAACTTGCTTGAATGTCACAAGTCTGCCACTTAACAGCTGATGTGATTTTGAGCAAGTTACTTAGCCTCTCAGTCTTTCTTCATCTGTAAAATGAAGATAATGACATGTCCTTTTAGTGTTTTTATAAGGAGGAAACAAGTCCACGCCTGTAAAGTTTTCAATGTATAGAAACCACCGAAGAATAAATGCTTGTCTTTTTCTCATGTATATTTGTCAATGTCTCTCTATTACTTAGGATTTAGCTAATTTTTTTTCCACTGAAAGTGTACATAACCACAGCATGGTAACCTTCATATAAATTTGGTTCATTGTAGTAGTATTTACCTAAGAGCTGAACTTTATTTATGTAAGTTTCTTAACTGTCAGTCGTTTTAACTACAGGTTACGATAGTGAACAAGTAGAGAAGAGAAAGGCCAACAAAGATGGTAAAGTAATTACTCAGAAATGGTGGAGTAAATTGATGTCTCCTTTTAGACCATTTGTTGCCTTTACTGCAGTCCTGCTGGTAACTTTTCAAAGAGTAAATGAAACTGAAAATATTCTGCCTTAAATTAGAAAATGATTCTTTAGCATGTATTTTCCCTGTTAAAAATAAATTAAATTAAATTTATATATAAATGACTCCAAATCCTCAATGATTCTATAAACACTGAACCAAATGTCAGATGGACATTATTGCAGTTTTTATTTTTTTAAAGCAGATTGAGAGATGGAATGAGGTGTAGAGTGTAATTTAGACAGAGTGGTCAGGAAGACCAATTGACATAAGAGCAAACACCTAATTGAACTGAAGTAAACAAGCTATGTGAGGGAAGAACAACATTCTGGGTGGAAGGAACAGAAAATTCAAAGGCCATGAAATGGGGGCATAAATGGATGGAGATGAAAATTACACTTGTTTACTTCAGCGGTAATTTCAGCAGTGTTCTCCCAAAGACAGAATTTAAAGGAACAATTACATTACGAACACTTTAAAGGGGGAGAGTATAGCTCAGTGGAAGAGTGCATGCTTAGGACCTATGAGGTCCTGGGTTCAATCCCCAGTACCTCCATTAAAAAAAAAAATTCTTCCCAACAAATTTCCTAAACATTCTGCAGGGAATGTATCACTCTGACCCCACTGAGAACTAGTGTGCTTGGGGAATGTTTCAGAAAAAACACAGCCGCATCCTCTTTCTCAGGATCTGTGGGTACCATTTCAGTCCAGAAATTTAAAGGAAAAAAAAAAAACACTTTGAAGTATGGATCTGGGGCTGTCAACTATACATATTTATTAGCTAAGTGAATCATTTTCACTGTGGATCCTCTTAATCCCAGATGTACTGGATTTTAAGAAACATTTGCAAAGTCTAAACCCAAATCTTTAATCTTCACTTATCAAAGATTTCTTGTCTTTTCAGTGCTAACCCAAAAGATGCAATAGTTTTTCTTAGAATTACCTGCATTTACATAGACCAATAGATGAGTCTTTGTGTTGGAATGAGAGAAGTCACCTGGTCCATCCTCTGGTTCTCAAGGATCAGTCCAGTGACAGTTACCTGGGCAGCTTTTCATAAAGTTATCCTCTCTTCCTTTCCTTTCTTCTTAGCAGGTACTAGAATGGAAAGATGGAGAGATGTGCCACTCATGCCTTTTGGGGCAAGTTGTTGTGGGGGAACTTACATGACAGAGAAATCAACCAGATAATCATTCAGCCTTTGCTTGAAATATTCTAGTGACAGAAGGGCATTCTTTTTTTTAGTGGAGGTACTGGGGATTGAACCAGGATCTTGAGCATGCTCAGCATGTGCCATACCACTGAGCTATACCCACTCTCCCGCAAGAAGTACATTCTTAAGGAACTCATCTCTACATTTTATTTTTACATATGTGTGTGTGTATACACACACACACACACACACACACACACAGAGAGAGAGAGAGAGAGAGAGAGGGCGGGAAGAGAGAGAAGAGAGAGAGAGGGCTTAGTCAGAGGAAAGGAGATCCTACTTGTCCCAGACACAATTGAAATGTTATCATAAAGGTGCATCAGTATCAATGTCACCTGTCCCCTCATGCCCCCAGAGAGTAGAAACTAAAGTGTAGGTAGAAGTGGGAGACTTTACTTGACCAGGCCCAAGACCCTCCTGCTTTGCACCATTGTCTAAAATGAAGGAAATGGTGGAGGACTAATCTTACAGACGTCCTCAGCACGTACTTCACCCGTTTATACTTGCCCTGGCTGTTTAGCACCTTTCTTAGACTTGCTGGGCTATATTCCATATTGTTGCGCATAGAGAAACTAGAATTAGTCCTCAGAGCACATCAGGTCTTACCACAGAATAGGGCAACTTACGGTGATCATAATGGTATCTTTGTGATTTTAAATTTTGTCTTATTTGAGGTGAGTTGAGCACAGAAAAGTTTTAAAGGACAGTTTGAAAACCTGTTTTTAGATCATTTTTATACATCAAGTTGAAGTCAAAAACATTTTATTTTTATTCAAGACACTCAACAGTGTAAACGCTTTTGTTTTTTTTAACTGTAATAGAAAATTGAGCCATTGTAGAACTTGCTACATTTCTGAAATCAACTTTTTGGAAAGTTTATGTATGTTTTAAACTTTAAAAAAAAACAAAACAATGCCTACAAAAAGAATCAAATAGTATAGTGGATCTGTAATTGATTATTATTCTCTTGTCTACTGTTTTAATATCAGGATTTGTGAATCACTTGAAGAGAAGTAGAATGTTCTTAGCATCAGAGATCAAATGGATTCTTTTTTAAGCTTCCAGCAATTTATCAAAATCATCTCAGTTTGTTCTGTTATACATTAGAAGCATAGATTTCCTATAATTCTTTTATTATACTTTTCCTGGAGATTCTCATTTTCTTTCTTTTTTTCTGATTGACAAATACTAATGTACCATCAGCATATCCTCAGAGTTACTCAGTCTCTGTTTCATGGCGACCTCTTCAGATATTCTCTCTTGGATTCTGTGTCCTGCTGCCATTCTGGGACTTGCCTTTGCTGCCCTCCTACGTTGAATCAGTGTTTGCTGGATCCTGTGGATCCTTCCTCTCTCTCGGTTTTACACTCATTTGGCTGGTCAATAAACCTGAAGTATTTTCCCAGGAAAGATTGCTTAGGAAGTCAACCTTTTGAGACTTTATATCCCTGAAGTCTCTTCTGCCATCACACCTGATTGGTAGTATAGAATGCTAAGTTCAAAATTGTTTTCCCTTTGTCCTTAGGTGTATCACTAGTGTATTCTAGTGTCTGGGTTCCTTTTATAGATGTTTTGCTGAAATTTTCCAAGCATACAAAAATTTGATGAATTACTCAATTCTACATTAATATTTTGCACTATTTGTTTTATCCTCTAATTCTATCTTATTTTTTGATGCATTTCAAAATAAATTGTAAGGATCAGCATACTTCACTACTGAACACTTTAGTGTTCATGTAATTAACTAGAGTTCAGTATTTGGTTACATTTTTATAGGTGGATATAAACAAAAATGCACAAGTCACAAATGTACCATTCAGGGAGTTTTTTTTTAAATTGCATACATCACTCGCTATCAAGATGTAGAACATTATCATGATCCCCAGGAAACAAGAACGAAAAGTTCTGATTCTTTTCCACTATATGTTTTATTTTCCTGTGCTCAGACTTATATAAGTGGAATCATACCACGTGTACTCTTGTGTAAGGCTTCTTTCACTCAACATTTTTTCAGATTTATTCAAATTGTTATGTGTATGAATAATTCCTTTTTATAACAATAGTATTTTTATATAAATATAAACAAATATATAATTTTTCTGATCTGTTGATGGCAACCTATGTGCTCTTTCTGGGTTTTAGTTTCTGTAAATAAAGCTGTGTGACTGACAAGAATATTCGAGAATAAATTTTAAATTTTCAAATTAGACATACCTGCTAACATGCAATATACTGCACAAATTTTTTCATTCCATCTTTATTCTATTTTCTTGTTCTTGAATTTTTGTTAATACAAAATTAAGTCATAACTTGGATGACAATACTGCTGTGCTTTTTGATTTCTTGCTATTCTCAGTAATATAAAGAGTAGGTAGGAAGAGTACTTAAAATCATCCTTTTTTTAAAAGTTTTGAATATTCTTGATGAAATTCTAGAATTAATCTGTCTTCCCTAGTTCATTGATTGACTTTAGGTAATTAGGTGTTTATGTTAATTAGGTATAGTTAAGAGTGTCTTTCCTTAGAAGTTAGCATATAAAGTCATTGAATTTTAAAGGTAGAAGTTTTTAAAGAATATGTTAGTCTGACATTATATATGAATTGTCCAGAAAGATATGACTTTTTCATTTATGAGTGCATTTTGCTTGCTTTTTAGTAAAAATTATTACTTCTACTTGTTTTAGTTTTGGAATGGCAGTTTAAAGACCCAAGTTTAAGGTGTTATATTCATTATCTGGAAGGTCTTTTCTAGCTTTAACGTTTTGTTAAATCCATATAATAAATTAAGAATGACATTTTCTGGTTACCATTCCGGATTACAGAAAGGATTTTATCCTGTTATATCCAATGTACACATTCTACAGCTTTCTGTGAGTGTTGATTTTCTTTTCAATGAATGCTGATTTTGAAATTCAATTAAAGTAAAAAAAAGAGTAAAGGGTATTTTTTAGTCTAGTAGTCAAGCTGTATTTGTGGCATATGAAAATTATTTCATGGCTTTTCTGAAAACTGCATACAGCTACACGACTTTTCAGTTGCATTTACCTTAGTACTGAAATGGAAAATCCAATGATAAAATAGGTGACAGTTTAAGAGGATTGACTTAAATGTTAAATGAAGCTTTATATCTACTTTACTGGTACCTAACACTTATACTTTAATTTTAGAAAGAACTTATATATCTTTTCTCATGTCATTTTTTTCTTGCTTTATGTGGCATTTGTGAAAATGCATACAGAAATGCTGGTAGGGGATAATTGATGTTCTTGTTTGCAAAAGTTACACTAAAGATCACAAAAATGACTAGTAATTAAATTGCTTCAGTCCTTAAAGACATAAACTCTCTGCTTTGAAGAAGCTCATGACTTATCTGCGATCCACTTGCGTCAAAATTTCCATATTGTAAATAGCTACAGCTTCCATTTCCTTTTCTTTTGCTCGTCATCCTACTTGTCCCACTCTTCTTTCCCCCAGTCTTTGGACAGTTTTGCTTAAAGACAAAACAGGATTAACGGAAGTATGATAAAGTAGGAGCGAGAGTCACAATGGTTACTCTTTTTAATTAAATATATGAAGTTCCAAGGATTGCATGAGATTTACACCTTCTAAATAAATGCACAGTAGAGAACGAAGTGAAAGTTGTTGGTCAGATAACCATAATTGATTTGCTTTTACATATCCTATTGTAAAATTTGAATACAGGCATTTTTGTCTTGCCCTCTTTTTTCTCACAGCTCACCTGGCATCCTATGCTTCAGAGATAATAAATTATTTACCCAAAGTTAACATAACCATTTAATGACCCAGCCAGGACTTTCTACTCTAAGTCCAACTATATACTGTGTCAGGTATAGCAATTATTTGGGTCAATTAATGTATTTATTTTTTAGCCTCTGAACTTTAATAGAGGCAAGTTTATTGAGGAATATTTCAAAATTGATAGCTTTTCAAACTTACTACAATCAGACTTTGTTCTTCTAGACTTAATAATGTTACTCCTAGAATTGCCAGTTACTTAAAACTATTTACTATTTACATACTTAGAAGACTTTCCCTGTTGACTCAAGCGCTAGTATTCTAACTGTATTGTCAATGACCCTGAGCTACTCAGAGTGTGCTTATTACAAAATTGAAAAGTTAGCATAAGTTGTCAATGATATTACTGAAAAATAATTTTGTTTAGTAAAAAGTTTGTTTTGTGTCTTCTCTGCAGGAGTTTTCCTTTCACCCTTGTGAGATTTAGTGGTAAGGAAGTACACACTATAATAAATATGAAAGCATGCCTACATCTCTTTAAACTTGATAACTTGATCTAACCCAAAATTTAAATTCTTCACACTGCAG